TGGCAGCAGCTGCTAAGTTATGTTGTTTACTACGATAAGAACAGAAGCAGAGACGAGATATCATGCTATCTAAAACCTACGTCCACATACCCCTTTGCCCGCTGTGGAGACCACAAACTTCAAAGCAGTTGCGCAGTCAGCCCCATGTCCGCTGCGTCTGCTATAACAAATAGAGAGCCTGCAGCTTCATGGTACACTTATCACAGGGCTCTTGCCCAGCAATGGCCTCTTTCCACTCACTCCTCACCAAAGGAGACATATGAATCAGGCTATCGCTGGTCTTGACCATGCCAATCATCTTCCGCAAGGTGGTTTTCAATCCACAGTGTTTCAACGTGCGGTGTCATCCATGGCATGGGCAGTGGCAGAAGCGAGACCTAGCCCGACAGCAGGTGACAGCACGCAAGGCGGACGTTTGCGTCAAATGCTGAGCCTGTGGCTTTGATCACTTCAGCTGCCGATACTTTGGACACGTGCCTTTGTGGGCAAGCAAGTGTGCATGCTCGGAGCCTTCACCTGAGTCCACAACCAAAACAGAACGGATCTGAGGCATGCTGAACTGCTTAACAAGCTAGCAGCAACATGCCACCTTCTCATACTGATCCTGACATCAGCTACAAAGACATCTCAAGGTGAGCAACAGTAAAATTCATGCAAGTCGCGCCGTGCCCAGCAGCCAAACTTGGCGTCCTGGGAGTGGAGCAGTGGCTTCCGTGTAGGTTCAACCGTCTGATTATCATTGTTACTATTACTAGTATTACTACTTTTATTATTGCTGCTAACAGTATGGCTGGTATTATTACTATGATTAGTCTTGCTATGAGTACTCTGAGGCCAAAATCCATGGGCCCGGAACTGGGCTCCTCAATATGCTGGCGCCCACTATTGACCAGGAACCTAACATCCTTTAAATGGAGCGCTCCGCCGTAGCACCGTTTTTTAATAGGCGCGGGGTTTCCCCACACCTCCTTCTAGGTCACTGGTTCCTATTGAAATCATTTGAAATCTGTCCATGGCAGTGTGCGCATGCCCTGAGCCACTTTGCGCAGGCATTGTATACATTCTGCATGCAACACAGGAAAGCAATCAACCTTCCCGGACCCCACAAGAGATCCTTAGAACCACTTTCCGAGGAAACTTGCAACCTAAACTGCAAGGCGGTCAATCTGCAAGATGAGACGGCGGTCCTTGTGGTCATGCCTGTATAGAAAAGAGCACATGCCAAATCCAGCGCTTTGGAACTTCTGAAATGGTAAAAGGAAGGTAAGTCTGCACCACCCTCGAGAAATTCGTTTAGCATGCCCTGTGGCATGATTCCACGTATGTCCTTGTAACCTTAAACCTGTTTGTTTCGCAACATCCGAACCCCTTCAGAGCCATGACTCGAGATTGACAAGTATGTTGAATTGAAGGCCAGCAGTTCTCCAGAAAGGTCGGCAGCAAAGCTTCCCACATATTTGACATGACATAAATTCAACAGCGCATGGGGCTTCCCTATATACCACCATATAGCCCCTAAACCCTAAACCCTAAACCCTGTACATCCCTACACTTAATGATCTTAGCCTGGCCTGGTGCGTCCAGGTAGGACAAGGTCCTGCCCGGCATGGCCCGCGCTTGGAAGCGTTGGGAGCAACGTTGAGGAGGCGTGGAGCGGCTTGCTTACGGACAGCATCCTGGGATTTTCATGAGATTTTCATTTATGCGTAGTGCCTGAGCAAACCACAATAATGCGATACAGCAAAAATGGAAAATGAGTTGGACACTACAGCGCTTAACCTCATGTTATTGCGCTATGACATACCGCTCGACTACTTGCGCTGATGGCAGGCTGGATGACATGTCACACACTGCCTTGCCACCATTACTGTGATTAGTATTGTCATTAATATTGTTCATCGGATCATTATTTTTGTATGATCATTATTGAGGTTATTCGTGTTTCTTCATACGTATACATATATATATATATACACACAAGTAAACTGGCCGCTGCAAATTTGCGCGCGCCTTCGACAAGAATCGTGAAGCGCCAGTAACATCATTGGTACTATGTTTATTGTTAACGATCAAGGTCCGATGATCGCTTCTGAGCAGAGTCCTGTAGACGCTGGACGTACGGACCACAACGCCTGGCTCCCTTCCAAATCCTCAGTTCACTTTGGTTTTGAAGAAGCTGGCAACCCAACTTGTGTGCGAAAGGTGGGGTTACATTCATAAGGACCTCCTGAAGAGGGATCCACCAATTTTGGCAGAAACTCGTAGGCCAGACAAGAGATAGTCCTGGGTTTTAGTGCACCCTGGATTGATGCTGAAGATTGTCCATCCTCAAAACCATCCTGACAGGCAATCTAAAAAGAAAGTCCATCCTGATGCCTGAGCAATGAATTTGGGACCACAGCTTGTTGACCAGCATGCTGACTTGCCTTGCATCCGAAAATCTTAAACGCAAATGAGAGAGCGTCAACATCACTGTTGTGAAACGCCCTTCACCTCAACCCAACGCCCTCTCCTCGGCACTTTCTAGGGCATTTCATGCGTGTTTCGGCAAGAACTGCAAAAAACGAACGGTAAACTTGAAACATATTCCACATCCAGAAACAATGCCTACCCAAGGCTACTCTTCCGTCAACCCGAACAAGAAGCTCCTCTACCATCCTGCTGTCCATCAAGCCCTGCTACGCTGCTGGACTCACAAATTTGCAGCCAATTGGCTGACATTGGCCACATGTCGACGCTGTGTTGCGCATGGAGGGCCAAACAGCCTCTGACATGCATGCGCTAGCATTTGGGCTACCAGCTGTTGCAAGTCAAGAGCTTGGGAGTTGTGGGAAGGATCCTTCCCACCAACACTTCCAAAGCGGGCACCGATATGTATGATTTTGCAACAACCACCGCCTTGGTCCGAAAAAAACTACCTTCTGAGATATGTACCGAAAAGAACTGATTGGGTCCCAGGTCTTTGGTATCATCCTTAAAACTAATTGACTAGTAGATTTCTACTCTAAATGGTAATTTCCCAAAACAAGGGAACCCCAATGTAGACCCCAAAGTACTATGGTCCTTATTATGGGGATCACCAAAAAGGTACCCCTAATTTTGTGAAACCCCCAAATAAACAATCCAAGTCTAAGAGACCAACGAGATCCCTGATTCCAATAATCATGCCTATGGATCCCTTACGGTAAGTCCTGTAGAAGACCGAGAAACCATGAACTTGCGATTCCTTTTTATAACCCCCCTTATGACCGCAGCACCCCCAAATTTATCAGTAGGTTGGATTCATGTGGCTCCTTTTCGACAACAGTTTTAGGCCCCTTAATCATTGTCTGATACTGAGGGGATTAAATAACGAGGAGAAGGGATTACAAGCTATCTCAAGTCTTTGATGGTTGGTTTTTTTTTTTCGGTGAGATGTCGGGCTAGGGTGAACTTTGATGCTGGAATTTTGCTGAATCGAGATGGTCGCATGAAGCGAGGATCTCCTTCAAAAAGATTTTGAAGTAGCAATGGGTGCTGAGTAAGGCCAAGCTAGAGCATCTAGAACGTGAGAAAATGCACCTAGTCGAAAAGCCGCAGGCCTTCATACATTCTTAAGGCTTTGCAGCTTGAAGACCTTGGGCAGTATCTTAACTCCAGCTTCTCCAAGACAAGTGCTTTGATGAGGCTGGATGAGGCTGGACTTGAGGGCAATGGCGTTCTTAGATCCCGCTGACGCGGGTTTTCTTGCCCCATCTGAAATTGCATACGGATTTTGGGCATGATCTAAAATGCAAGGTCTTGCCGAAAGGGAAGCCCCACTACAACAACAAGCTGCAATTGAACACTCTCTCTGATGGTATTAAACCATATTAACCCCCGAGAGATCCTGAACCTGAAAACCCCAGACAGCAACTTGCAAGCACGGCAGGCGTGTCAGCCTCCACGGACCAAAGCGTTGCTTAAGGAGTGATTGCATCTGAACGCAAGATGTTCTGCACTTATCCCAAGCTTACAAGCGTTCACTGCAATTCTAGAATCTAGTTGTCACGATATAGGCTCCTGACCCGTTGGCTTCCAGTTCGGAAGTGGATTGGTGCTACGATTGCGGTCCTATTTTCTGATAAAGCTGTTCGACAGGCAAACAAGATGAGTAACGACAGCAAGCTAAGTGGCTCTTTTGCTTCTGCTTGAAACATGCAGGTGTGTGAAGGTACTTAGCTGCTGCACACACATGTGCACATGCTTTCATGCTGGAAGTTCGTACTCCATGCCTTCCAGAGCTAAACTGCTGCTGACTCAAGAGCAGCAGTGGCTTCCTCGACAAAAGCGGGTATTTCCAGGATGTTGTCATCTCATGCCCTTTATAACAGTGTGGTACCTGTTATCAAGACTAACCATGGAAACGGTTGCAAGAGAGTACTAGTCGGGCTACATAATAGTTTCGCTTTCGAGGGTCGCAAGTGGCATTCCGTTAGTTATAATGGGACCTCCAATAGTTAACTCCACGAACTTTGTGAAGCCTCCTCTGTCGAGCCATGAATCGAATGCAGAATGTGCGCCCCCTGAAAAGGAAACCGTTCGTAGTCCGCAGCTGCTTGAGTTGCATTCAACTTGCCATTCACCCGTATCGTTTTTGAGGATGACCCTCAGGTTGCGCTTCGTGCGATAAGGAACTTCCAGGACACCCCCGTGATCCGCAGCAAACTACATGTTCACATATCAGATCCTGATTCAAGGTGAACTCAAGCGGAACAACACTGAAACTTGCCTGAATCTACATTACGCCTTCCTCCTTGAGCAGCAGCAGCAGCAGGAGGACGTGCCCAGTTCTTGGTACCCCCGGTAGCCAAGAAAACACAAATTTATGTTGCAAGGACACTGCTCGAACAAAAACGCCTCCACAAATTCTAACATGGACGTTCATACTTGCGCATGGTTAGATATAATCCCTGTACATCGCAAACCGAACCCTGAAACCGTAAACCTTTGATAGGGAATCCAGCGGCGGGAGGCAGCACCATTGTCCTGCTGGAGGCCCAAACAATCGAAAAGACCCGCTGCTGCAGCAACTCGGCGGCACGGCTAGGACTAAGGAGCTATTTCGACGATAGGTCCCGTTGTCATGTTTTCGTAAAGGTCTTAGCTGTGGCGGGTGTCTCCAAGGAGGACTAAATAGATATAGCCATTCATTCTCTCGTTGCCTTAGTAGGTTGAGGATTTCCTGGTGTCGCGCTTGTCCAATTCGGTTCCGTTGTGGCTCTGATGGGGTTTGAGCGGTTTGAGATTAAGGCGCTGGAGCGAATTTAACTACTGGTCGAGCTGTCGCCCCTTCTGAATTTCTACGGAATACTTCTAGAGTTCTAGAGAAAGCCCGAATGATGCAAATACCCCACCTCTTCCTGTTCAAGACAAAGCAAGTCAAGCAGTGACAAGTAAACATTCCGATAAACACAAGAGACTATTTGATTCAGGACTAACTCTGGTTTCTTGAATCGGCTGCCTATCCATTGTCTTGAACTGTGCTGCCGCTGATTTGTGCTGACACTGAGGCGGCGGCCCAGGCGACGCAGTCGGGCTGCCTCAGTTCAGACCGCTCTCTGTCTCTCTGCAGGAGGGAGCCCATTCCCATGTAAAACTCAACAAGTGTCGACACAAAAACCCTACGAAATCCCATATCATCATCCCTTCGGGATCCAGGAAAAAATCAAAGATTCTAGATGGAGACCCTATATGCATGCGTACGGCTTCTGGGAAGTCTAGGTTATAGGATAGTCGTAGGTCCTCAACAATCTGCACTACGTATTCTCTGAACCCCCAAGCCCCACACCATGAAAACCACAACTCCATAGAGTCCCAACGCCACGCCAACAACACCTAATGCTCTGAGCCCCCTAGACCCCAAATCCACAATCCCCATATCCACACCCCAAACTTCCGCAAAGAGCCACTGGGTCTCCTACCGCAGGCAACGGTCTGTGAGAAACGCGCTGCAGCGAGCTTTCCGTGCGCTCGGCCTTGCCACGACCCTACTCCTTAACTGGGTTGCTGTTAAGGAACTTAATTTAAGTTACCATATCGGGGAAACCCTATTATTTACTATATATACCCATTATTGTAACTTAATTTAAGTTCCTTAACAGCAACCCAGTTAATCTGAGGGGCGGGGGATAGGATTCCCAGGGCTTTCGGGCTTCCAAAGCTCAACACTTTTCTCGAATAACCTTAGGATGACCTTATTTCGGAGGTTGACAAGGAGACCTCAGGCTCAGCCGGTTCTCACCTAAGAATGATCCAAGCATACCAGGATGGGGATGGCAGCAATGCCAGTTCTGAGAATCACAGGGAAACAATGATTGCACGGTCAGGTGTCTATGCCTGGATAACAAAGTCTCCAAGATCTCAAGTAGAACGTGCACAATGCAGTAAACGCAAATTTGATGTAAAACGGCTTGTATTGTTGAGCAGGCAAGGTATCAGTGTGCTGGCCGCAGGACAACGAAAAATAATCATTCATAATGTTGTGTAGGTCCACAGTCCACATGTGTTGAAGGCTCAGCATATGGATGCAACTAACGAACCGCGGAACTTCTGAATTCCAAGCCCTTCCAATTCCCTAGAATATTTGACTTCCGCCCTAACTCAACTGCCTAAAGACCCATGCACCGGTGATGGCACGGCACCTTGTCTAGCGCCCGGAAAAGCGTCCTCAGATCATGGGGATTTCACGGGAAAAGTCCGAGTTGGTGCCCAAGGGCAGAGATAAAATGTGGTGAGGTCATGCCGCAGTTTCTGAGCGCATCCTATACATCGTTTTGGACATCTGTCAAACATGGTGGTTTCATGCATCTGTCAGAGCATGACAGCGCCCCACTACGAACTACCGTTCCTCGAAGATCATATCAGGTCCAAGCTCCCAATGCTTCCGTGCTGCTAGCAGGGGTGGAGTACGTTTGAAGGTGCAAAAGGTACATTTAAGGATGCTCTAGGTGCGAGCAGCTTGCGCGTACCTGCCAACGTACAGTGGGCCTGCATGGGTCACGAGAGTTGGACACATGTTAACCCAAATCCCCTCTCCCGCTGTCACACACCCACGGTGAGCCCAAATGATGGCTCCTGTTTGTGATCCTTTCGAAAGTTGAAGTCCGCTTTGTCGCGTGCCATGCCGGTCATGCATCACGAGGCGATCCCTTACGAGGTGATGAGACTCAATCTGGCTTCCTCCTACTTTCGTTGCCATATACACCCACTACGGCACGCCCTCCACTACGTGCTGCGAACCAAGCTTCATACCCTTCAAGACCGTAAACCCTCACTGAGCTCTATGCCGTGTAACTCATATATCCTGAAACTTAAGCAAACCGGAATCTGAGCCCAGAACTCAAGATCATGTACCCGACGCAGCCAAACCAGAAAAAACAAAAACAACAACCCCATCGCCGCGAATCCGCAAATCCTAAACTGGACCCGAAACCGTACCCAAGGGCTCCCATGTAGTTCCTTGTGAAGTTTTTAGCTGTTTTTGGGTAAGAGGTATACTTTACCCCCAATCAGGAAGTACATAGGATCGAGACCTTTTGACGCCCTTCACATCAAATGCCAAGCTAAATCTGGACCAGGTTCGGGTGGGTCTCCGGCGTGGGCTTTGAGGGCTTCACGCCTCTCAGGGGCCCATTTTCGCGGTCCCTAATAATGAGGATCATAATTGCTGTGGGTCTATATGGGGGTCCCCCTATTATGGAAACTACCTTATATTGGCATACCCTTATAAACCCTGAGGCTTGTAGTGCCTGGGGAAGATCGTTTCGTCAACATTGGGCTCTTAAGGGGAGTAGCAGTAGCAGTTTGTGGCTCCTTCAGGAGCTTCCTTCCTTGGCCTCAGCAGGATGTGTTGGGGTTATACCTCTGACTCCGGGGATATCACCTGAAGAAGCTGGCAAAGGCAGCAACCCAAAAAGAAAGAAGAAAAACCTTACACCATCCCTCCACCCTCGGGGCTAATTTTGAGCTGGGAAGTAGGCCTACAATACTTTAGGGTTACTATATTATCCCCTATTTAATGGAGAATCAAATGGAAAAGAAAATGGAAAATGAAATGGAAACTGGGGAAATATGTGTGCATTCTATTGCCAACTGGCTCGTATGGTTTGCTCAGGAGTGCAACCCTCAACTTGCCTTCAAATCCTGCGCTGAACCCGTGCAAACTGAACACTGCAGTGAGGGTTGGGGTGCAGGACGAATTCGTTACCGATACTCTAGCTTCCACACAAATTGCCATACTGAGGGCCCTTGGAAATTTGCGAGCATGTGGCCAGATTTCAAGGTGAGTGTCTCCCTGTCCCCGGCCGAAGGGAACTGAACCTTTGCTTCTATGAAAGCGTTCAAGCATTTGAACTACCTGACAGAGCGTCCGTTTTTCAGCTTCGTGCCTTCGGTGGTAGAAAGGCGTGAAACTATGAAATAGATGCTCAGCATCGAAGATCTACTGGTTGCCGTCGTGTCCTCACACTCTTTGAGAGTTGCACGACGTTGTGCACGACTGGTGCCTTTGCTTTCAAACAAGCGCAATTTTCTATTGCATTGCTGCAAGCATACCTAGAGTCTCCAAGCTATTTACTTGCAAGCAACGTGTCATCTCCACGACCTGCAAGGCCCTTGCTTGCTTGCCACATACCCCAACTTACTTCGACGCACCTCTGAGCCGTGGGTGGGAGCCCGATAGTGTTGTGCAAATGTTAGCATAGGAAAACGCAGGCCAAGGCGCGCGAACTTAATAGAGGTTATTTTCAAGAAATACTACAGCTAACCTTGACGGTTAAAGTACTCGGAACCATTCAAGACTTCATACTTGCAATGCTCAGAGCTCTGGAGAGTTCATCGATTGGGTTGCAGTGCTCCGAGTCTCAGACTGAGATCCGGCAAAGGCGTCAGCAAACTTAAACACACAGTCATCTGGGCTGGGTGTGAGGACTTTCACCGAGGATCTCAATTTCGTGACGATCCTCTTGAGGCATCATTTGCAGCAACCCCTGCGAAACAACCAAACCACCTTCAATTTGCTTCGCGACATGGTTGTGGGAGGCAGCTGTAACTGTCGTTTGACCAAGGTAGGGAGGAAAGCAAGTATCAATGTGAAAGGAGGAAATCTGGCAGCCCCTGAAATACCACGCGCGGTGGGAGCCTCAACGCCCAACGCAGTGTTGGGATCTCCAGCGGTGGAACAAGTCGGCGTTGATGCCCAGATGCTGGAGTAGTCATAACTCAATGATAGGAATAACCAAATGCTCCTACATTTGCTTACAACACTCTGCAAGCTGTGCAGTTGATGCTGCCCTGCCCACGCCCAGGAAAGAAAGCACTGTGATTCGGAGAAGCGCTGGACAGCTCTCCACACAAGGACCCGGAGACTTGTGACGGAAGCGGTGATCGAGTGGAACGCGCAGAACGCAAACACGGACAAAAGCTGTCACTTGAGGGCTTCCAAGGCAAATAGATCCTTCCTGTGACAAATCACCTAGTCGGAGCGGTTCAGTTTTAGTAGCTAGCCACCAATCGACATCTAAACCCCCAAGCTGGTCCATTGCACAGCCGCATGGCTAAGGTAACGTAATGCCTCCTGCTCCTCTCAATTCCTTGTTTAGCTTTAGCATTTTGAATCTCCGCCCTCCTTGCTGCAACCTATAAGCATCTCAGGGTCCTCATGACAAGTCTGAAAATTGATGTTCAAAACCTGGCAAATTAATTCGCTGCGGGTCAACTGTGGGACGCCTCTGCGGAGGGCCAGTATTGGGAGTTAGCGCTTGCAGAGGCCTAGGGTCTGGGGATTTAGAAGCAAAGTCGTGAATTGTTTCGCATACAGTTTTGGATTTAGTATACCGTCATCACTACAAGGAATTACATATGCTACAATATAGCCTGGTTCCCATGCTCATGTGGCCGGTTCTGACATCTAAGAAACCTGCTAAGCCAGCCAGAGCTAGGAACTGATCTTCCCAAAAGTGCTCCCTACTTCCAATATAGTACTCACAATTGGGTCGAATGTCCCAACTAGCCCTGAGTACTGACAGTGCTCCCAGGGGGGCCACTATCCTAAGATAACACCTATATAACCCCAGTTTCCATTTCATTTTCCATTTTCTTTTCCATTTGATTCTCCATTATTGGGGTAATATTGGGTACCATATTCATGGTGTAGACAATCTCAACCGCAGGACCCCCAGCTCGAAGACAACCCAGGGCAGCGTCGAGCAAGAGCTGACATGGGAGTTTCTGAACACATGGACCCCCTCAGGGACCACGGATGTATTCGAAGATTATACGGGGAATATAAGGCTTGGCAATTCTGCAAGCACTTTTCGAGAAACTCCCCCATCACTCATGCGTACACAAAGAATTCTGGGATCCAAATGGCAAGCCAATCCAGGAGACTGGCGTTCTTCAAGCAAGTCATGCAGTGTGCTAAAGGAACTGACATGGAGCAAGGAAAACATCAGCAAGTCGTCACACGTCTCTTGTAACTACGGCTTCATGGGGATTGCTTCAATCCCCTGCCTGACACTTCTCCTAAGCCTGCATACGCCCTAAAAAAAACATGGCCTGGAAACCATAGCCCCAAGCCCTACACACTTTCGTTTGATGCATGTGCACTCCCAGTATATATAAATATATACACAGCATCTAAAGACACGTAGCTGATACGCCTCAAGCCGGACTGGAAAGCAATGCCTAGCCACAATCGTTAGTCATCGTTAGTCACAACTTGAAAGAGTTGGTGGACGGTCCTCCCTAATTACGGTCCACAAATCAATCTTGACAACACTGTTCTGGCCAAGATGGAAAATTGCAAGCAAATCTTCTCCAATAGTCAGAGGATGAAAGATCAGGAGCCACATCAAATCCGTATGCTGCATGGAACGACACGGCCCAATACCACACTCGTGTAGGGATACCCACATATGAGCCTTTTGGATCCTTGGACGCAGGGTATGCAGCCATCTTTCGAAAGGAAAGGTGCTGTCAGGCAGCCTGCCGTCAGGCCACATCGAACAAAAGAGCAAGGCAGTCACCACAAGGTTCCCTGTTGCAAATCTTCGAGACAAGTGCAAGCACCGTGAAATCGGTTGTCTCTTGGCGCTGTTCAGAAGCTAACTAACCTTGCCTGCGTCACACCCAAATAGAAGATCCCATAAACCTTCAAACAGCAATCCTGACCTTACAGCCCGTAAGCCGGTATATGCCTGACCAGAAATCCTTCATAAAAAGAGTGGTTTGACCCTGAAGCCCTCATCCCTAAACCCCACGGCGCTTACAGCCCTGTGTGACCTCCAGATGTCAGTCACTAACTGGATGACGATCCTGGGCTCTGGGCCGCCCGTGATTGAGGGATTCGAAGGGAATAATGGAGAAGAAGATGGAAGCTAGTAAATTAGATAGGGATAATATGAAGGGTTTAGGGATAGAACCCACAACAATGGAGAATCACCTGACGAGAAAAAAGGAAAATGAAATTACTTCATGTCCCGGCTAGGGTTTTGTTGAATGGTTTAGGGTTTTGGGAGGTGACCACGTGTCAAACGCTCCAGCCATCTATTTGCCCTTATCAACGGCCTTCCAGCAGCCGTCAACATCCAGGCAAAGAAACCAACCAGCACAGCACATACAACGCTACCTTCGTGTGATTTTCGTGGGATTTCCGTGGTATGGTGGGGTAGCATGCGTTTAGGTCCAGGTGGAAGTGTAGCACCAGCTGCTGCCCTTGGCGACGGAATGCTTGTGTTTTCTGTGGCAACAGCTACGGTTCCTTCGGAATGTTGCCCGCAGAACCTTCACCATTCTGATTAGATTGCTGCCGCTGCCTGAAGATAGATTCAAAAAATCATCGCCATAGAAGTGTTTCGGAATAGCGCATCCTTGATGTCGTGCCCAAACACGACAGCATCTTTGAGCTCCCCAAGAGGGATGACACAAAACATCAAGATACATCAAGATCCAGAATGGTGAGAAACCCGTACATGAGACTCTTTCAATTACAAGGACTCATGGTTTTAATAGACGAGCCATCGAGATACGCATGAATGTGAAGGCCGCAATCCTCATCAAGCATTGCAGCCCAGCAGCTCCTGCTAAAGCGTAGGCTGCCCCTCAGTGCAACATTCCTTGGCATTGAAATTGGCATGTGACGGTTTAGAGATTTGTATGTCTTGGGCTGTTTCTTTTTGAGATTTCTGGGTTGGTGGTATTCCTTTTCCTGGTCCCAGTACGAAATCAGATAGCATCAAGGCCATTCAAGAAAGCACGCAACTTCTAACAGTTCCCATACATACGTCCACGGACAGCCAAGGTGATGAGCACGGCCACCTTTGCAAATTAGGGCGGGTGCTTCATTATGGACAGCCAACTGGACACCCAACCATGATTTCAGCACCCCTCCCCTCTCGCTGCACAATCTTTGAACGGATCCCATATTTTCTGCTATGGCAGGCTCCCTTTCCCTGCTCTCTGGCATGAAACTTTTCCAAATTTACAGCCTTCAGAATTCAGCTGGCCCATTACACGGAGGGCTGGCAATTCTTGAAGAACAAAGGAACTATAAGTACTTCTTCTTGGATGCTATGGCTGCACTCACAATATCCCACAAGTGATTGTAGCCCTTGCCGTAGC